CTGAACTTTGAGATCCATCAGCCGTGTATTATTTAGAAAGAAGATCATTGATATTTTCAGATTCCGGAGAGGGAGTCTGAAAATCAGCTACCAAGCCCAAGGAAGGCATCAGGCGCGTAAAGGAGGGTTAAAAATGAAGCAGTAGGTGCGCGTGTTGATAAAAAAAAAATACTTTTCTCAAATGAAGAAATACATGTTAAGTGAGTTCGAATTATATCAATTATAACAGCGCCATCTGCCCGCGAATAGATCAAGCAATAATATCGATAAATTTCACTAGTTCGGACTTCCATTGTCTAATATATAAAATGATTTGAAATTCCTGAAACAATTGAAAAAAAAGAATTAAAAATGAATAGCTGAAAATAACAATTATATTAAGCAAAAATAACCTGAAATGAAATAATAGTGAGATAGAAATACAAGTCAAAATCGAACAATTGAAAAAAAATAAAGAAATAAAAATGAACATTTCATTGTTGACAAAAACAGTCGCCTGCGACACAAAGTCTTCAAAATGTTGCTCATTTTGATAACTCAAGTTTTTGTTTTGTCGAATTCAACACAGTTGCTGTTTTGTTCTGGTTCTGAACGCCTTCAATATCAACACAGTTCTGCATAATTTCGAACAATAGGCATGATGACAGTGAAACTCGATGCTAGTTTCCTCAGATTTCCTCCACTATTGTTTTCGTTCGTAATGTTGTTGAATCGAAAGTGAAATAACGTGGGCCATGGAAACAGGATTTACAAAAGTCATACAGTAGTAACGCGCCTATAATCAACTTGTTGGTGCTCATTTTACGCTCATTTTATGACCGCCACAATCATCCTACTGAGAAAAGTATTCGCGATGTGATGGATAGAAATGAGATCACTAGTCCAGTGAACGATCGACCAGTACCCATACGTTGACGAAACGCAAGATCTGCCGAGAGCATTGCCGCAATCTGTGAGAGTGTGCAGGAGAATCCGAGAGTTCGGTCCATATTTTTTGGCCAACGACGCCATTGATGATAATAGCCTGGCCAACGACGTTAGCGGACATGAACGATGTTATATTTCACAAATAATGGCATCAATATGTCTTTCAAACGAATAGAAAATTGTTCAAATTATTGTATTGATAAATTTCCTTCCCGGCTTTCAAGTGAAATCAAAAATTGCCACCACTGGCGGAAGAGTATAGTATCAGGGCACCTTCGGAAGATGCAGTACTTTTTCGCTGGGGTCGAGTTCATTTGAGAGAAAGTGGCCCAACTATAAAGTGACTACTGTTTATTAAAAACGAGTCACCGGCGCCATGAATTTTGACATCAGCACGCGTGCACAAATCTCTGAAGAATCGTGAAATATCATTTCCAGTTTCATAGGCTGCTTTCTAGATTTGCATATCGAGGTTTGTTTCTCGACGGAGTGTGTCAGTGATAAGTGTTAATCACATTTTTTTGTGTTCATTCTCAACTCAGCAACACAAACTTATCTATTCATAAAATGTTGAAAAACAAGCACACACCGTGAGAAGTAAAATATTAATTTACAGTATTAATCGTTGGCTGATACGAAACATTTTGAAATCACATGCAAATTGTGGATTTTTCAAATTCAGTTTGTAAATGTATTGAAGTAAAAATTATTGTGTTTTTACTGTATTTTGGTATGTTCCTCAATGCATTTCAGAATTGAATAAAAAATTGTTGCAAAGAACAGTTAATTTTCATAATTTCAGGATTTTTGGAGTCGAGAGAAATTTTAATCTTTTCACATAATTATCTGTGATTTTACAGAAACAGTGATACAGGCGGTTAATTTCCACATTCTCACATTTTTTTTTAATTTTAGCTGACTTTTTTTGCAATTCCTACACTAATACATTGTTTTATGGTTTTATAGTAATATGTAATTTTACGAAAATTTCTATTATTCTTATATTGTTTTATGGTTTTACAGTATTTTGTAATTTTAAAAAATTTTCGAATATTCCAACTTAAACAGCCACGAAACGTAGATAAAAGAATAGGCATCAATCAGTATAATGATATTAATAATAAATGAAAGAAATAACTAGACACAATATGGGAAAAAATACAAATTTGTGAACAGGATACACGATTGAACAAAGTTCTTTCTTCCTATTTACCTTCCAAAAAAAAATAAGATAAAAAAATTGAAAAGGGCCTAAATTGTTATTGTGATAGCGGGTACAACATATAAACATAAGAATACCTACTACAATTATTTCAGCTATAGCCTACAAGAGCCAATGTGATATGGAAGATCTCAATGAAAAATTAGCTTCATGCTCGACGTAGTGGGAGGAATAATAATCGTGAAACTCCATTAACGGAGATATAATTATGTGATTTGTCGCCTACACTGTAGTCTCAACATTGAAAACCTTATTCAATTTTCGTGTCGTGGATATTAAATCAACGCAAACAAGTACGAAGGTCAAAGATATATCCATATAGGTAAGTAAATTATCATTACGCAACAATAAAAATGTTCACCCAACATTTGCGCTGTGCATATGAAATAGAGCTGTTGCAAAAGAAAATGGAAAATTACTGAAGTGTGACACTTTTTTCAAGGTGCGGGATTAACTTTATCAAAAAGTTGTTATTTATTGTGAACGTTCGATTATATAGAACGGTGGGTGATGAAGTATGCTTATGGAAGAAAAAGAATTTGAAATAGTCAATTCTGATATGCATTTAGGTATATACATCAAGACAGACTATTGTTTCTTAAGACTGATTTCGTTTTCAAAAACAGGAACGATAAAAATTGATTTAGTTTCGAAAACAAACATGAATTCCACCAAACAGACAGAACAAACAGCATTTAAATTCATGTGATGCACTGTTTAAAACCTTTGTTGTGGTAATGAATATTTTCGCGGCTGTGGTTTTCAGTGTCATTGTTTTTCGAGTTTGAAAGCCGTGGATTTTTGGAATTTCTTCCTGACGTTTCGCTGGCGCGAGTGGCTACCTTCTTCAGAGGTTTAACCATCATGGCTTGCTGTCCGATGCCTTGACAGGTAATCAGTTGTATTGTTACCTGTATTTGTACCTGTACTTGAACCTGGAACATTAACAATCTTGCTGCCTGTTGTCGGTTTTTTTGTAATCTAGGACCCCAAAGGTTCAATATGGACAAGGTTCAAAATTTTGTCCACCTGAATTGGTAATATTTTCCACTGTGCGACGTCTGTAAAAAGTGAACAGTGTGTTCATCAAACAACCCAGACAGGAAAGGGTACACAAAGCGGGTGCCGTTTTCAATTTTTTCATCTCTGATTGGTTCAATGCATCGGCTCGTTATCTGATCTATTGTATTTGTTTATTATAAGCATAAACAGTGCAACTATATTAATTGTTCGCCCCCTTTTCAGAAAACAAACATCAACAATTTGGCTGAAGTTGTGATAATAGAATTAATACCCTGTTGAGCATTGCGTTCCGCAAGGGTCTGTTTTGGGTCCGCTCTTATTTGTCATTTATGTGAATGACTTGTGCAAATATATGATGTCGGCGGACGACACCACTTTCATTCTGTCGCATGAAAATGATGATACGTTACAGTCTCATCTCGACGAGGTATCTAATAGTGCTAATCAATGGTTTCTATCTAATGAGCTGAAACTAAAAGGTCAGAAGTTACAATACATCAAGATTTCTGCTAATAATCAAATTATCTCTAATTGTGAAACTAATAAAGTTGAATTATTGGGCATTACATAAGATAATAGACTCAAATGGTCTGCACATTTCTCAATTGAAGAGAAAACTCTCGAGTTCTCCATTTGTTCTTCGCCAATTGAAGTACATCACTAGCGCAAATATATTGAAAACCTTATAATTCTCACTGTTCCACTCTCATATTGGTTATGGTGTACAACTTTGGGGAAATTAATGTCATTCCATTCAAATATTTAGGATGCGAAACAAGGCATTGAGAGTGCTGGTTAATATTGGATACAGGGATCAGTGTCAAGAATATTTCAAAAAATTCTGAATTATGCCGTTGCCAACTTTATTTCTTTATTACGTGTTGATTGATATCCATAAGAAGGAACCATTCTTGGCGAAACAGTGTCATATCCACGTACATAACACACGAAACGCTCACCACATTAGAATAAATCGATTTTGTCTTCACTTATCGCAAAAAAATTCCATAGATTACTTTCTGTACAATATTTTCCACCAAGATTTCAAAAAACTCAGTCTGAATACTTACAAGAGAAAATTGAAAAATTATTTGTTGAGGCATTGCTTCTATTCTGTCGATGACTTAAGAACACATTTTTGTGGCAACACACAAGTCACCACTTCTTTTTGATTTTCAAAGTTGTTACATATGCGATTGTTGTTATTTGCTTGTAAATTTTTGATGTGAAGCCAAACATGACTTGCTACAAACATATTGTATGTTGAAATCTGGAGCAGTACAATAAACATGCAAGTTTTAGACTTACAGAACATCCCTATGGAAAATAATCAAATTCAATACTTCACCAATTTGTTTCATTATGGTAAATATAAATATGTTATTATAATGTTTTAGAGTTTGTAAATTTTCCAACTTTTGTATGCTGCCACGTTTATTTTCCATTCATTTATATAATAAACAGGAAAAACAGTATTCGTTGCATTTTTATCAAACTAGTTTGATCTTTCTCTGAAGATGATCACTTGGTGATCGAAACACGTGTCAAGGTGTTAAAATAATAGTTTGGTGTTGGGAAAAAACTACAGTAATATTCAATACCGTAACCAAACACTCTCAGTTCTGAAATATTTGTCCTTCTGGCGAACAAACGTTAAAAAGGTAAGAGAAAATTTCAACCTGATTTGTATGGAGACGATCGAACTTACCATTTTCAATTCGCGCAGCACAAGGTAGAGCAGTTGCTGACGAAGTGTCAGGTATCAAAACCTGCAGATCGCGGTTAATGAGCCCGAAAACACCGGACTGTTTGTTAGAAAGTACTGATTTTATGATTATGATTTTCATGTCTGTTCTCAACATTCATATTTTGGTGCATTTTTCAGATGATTCCAGCAGAATCATATAACGAAGTATCCATAGATTTCGAGCAGAAACAATAAATCGAGTGCTCCATGCCGTCTCAGTCTACTCACTAAATCTTGGCTCGAACCTAATATCTCTACGTTGAATGTTATCTTCTCCCAAGGCACTGACGATCATGTCCATTTGCACTTCGCCGTGATTGGTTTTCTGTGCTGCAACTCCATTCCCTTATTCGTACCAAATCTGCGTTCGAATGGCACTCTAATTTAAATTGAAATGGTAAATATTCACCTTGTACGGCATTACCTTCGATAATGATATTCCTCTAGCCACCACATTAATGTCATTCAGACGATGTCCATTTTCAGAGCCGTGGTCCGGGTTCGCTGGAGTCATTGCCTTCTGCAAGGTCGCCTGATGTGTCCCCGGCACTGCATTCCTTACCAGTCGGTTTGACAGAAATATCGTATTGATTAACAAGTTCACGAGCTGGATGCAGTTCGTCTAATTTTGAGCACAGTTCTTTCATTGAGATGTCGATGGCAGACAGTATATGGACTCCCACACACACAGGAAATTGTAATGCAACTCCCTGTAAACAAATTGACGCACCACATCAATCAGACAGTCTGACTTTGATATTCATCAAAATAGTATTGATTTATATAGGTTCTCTGTTTCTGGTAAAAGTATCAGGATTTAGGAATATCTCAAGAAACATACAGGGCTTTTCATGATGAGCGTTAATTAGCCGTTTCTGACAAACTATTTAACGGATCAACCTGAAAATTTCACAGTATGCACAAATCAATATGACTTACACGCCTAAAATATTTTAGACGAAGCGGCGTTATCTCTTCTACGATAAAATGGCGGCTTCTTTGATTTTTCAAATGGAACACCCCGTATATAATATCATATTATGATTCATTATCACTTTGTCAACAAATTCATATTCTATTTCTCTTTACTTTTCTATTACCGTTTGTAAGATATAAATTAATTTCAATATTTTTTTTACCAAACATGAACTTTTATAAATGCTGATAATCTTGAACTCTCTCGCACTAAAACGATCAAATTTGAAATGGAGTGGAGTGATACTATAGGGATCTTCACTCCGAGTCATATTTTCATTTGCCTCATACAGGGTCTTCAAAAAATGCAGATACTTTGATCTCATGAAAAAATTAGTGGAACTCAATTTTTTCAAATGGAACATTCTGTATATTTCAACATTTTTGAGCTCTACATCCAATTTTAGATTAACTTTGTTCAGATGATACTATTTCTATTTTGAACCGTTTTCGAGATAAACTGTTTCAAACGGAAACTGACGTGGTTTTCTTGCTCGTTTTTTTGAATTCATCACTTATTTTGGATATTCAACATTTTTTTTTATACTTAGTAATATTTCTTTTCGATCCAGTTTTTTGAACTGTCTCAGATCAGTCGATTCGAAATTGGTATGTACCTACCTTAGAAAAAGTTACAATTTGTATACATTGAGGTATTGGTCTCTAACGTACAACAGTACACATTAATATTTTTTAATAGTGTGCTTTGGAAAAATAAATAAACCAATTATTTAACGTCAGACTTTCGTTGGTGGTTTTGACTAATTGTGATAGCTACCAATTATAATAGAATAATGTCAAGATTAGGTTACAGTAATGAAGATTTCTTGAATTTATTAATAATTTATGGTGAGTGCAATAGAATTGCAAGTAGAACATGCCGAGTACTTCATGAAAGATATCCACAACTTCCGAAGCCGAATAATAATGTGATAAATCGACTACTAAAAAACTGTAGGTTGAATGGAACCTAAAGTGGATGATGATGACAATGGTATAACAGTTTTGGGATACTTTCATGCATTTCCAAATGCTTCTCTGCACGAGGCTGAAAGGGAGATAGGTATACCCTACGTGACAATTTGTCGAATTCTTAATAAGCATAAATGGCATCCCTATAAGTTCTACTGTGTCCAACATTTGAAAGAGACTGATTTACCTCGTAGAGTGGAATTCTTTGAATGGTTACTTGTCAAGACTCAAGAGGATGAACATTTCCTTGACAATATCATATGGACAGATGAGGCCAAGTTCACAAAAAATGGAGTTTTCAATAGACACAACAGTCATTATTAGGCGCCAGAAAATCCCCATGTTGTCCGCCAAAGGGTTTTCAAGAAAGATGGCAATTCAATGTATTTTGTGCCATAAAGAATGAGTCAATTTTTTATATCGAGTTTTATGATGATAATTTGAATGCATCAAAATATGAAGATTTACTGAGGAATGGAATTCAATTGATTTTAAATAATAGACTAGGAAGAGAACGTGTATGGTACCAAATGGATGGTGCTGCACCCCATAATTCTCATTCAGTCAGCGAAGCTTTAACCGAAATCTTCGAAGACAGATGGATTGGTAATAATGGACCTTTTCAAGAGAGGTTGTAACAATTATAGAGGTCTAACACTGTTAAGCGTTGCAATGAAATTATGGAACAGATTCTAGATAGACGAATGAGAACAAAAATAGAGCCTACACCGCATATTCATAAAAAAACAAGTAGCACAAAAACCAAGCCAAGAAAAGAGAATGATATATATAGCATTCTCAGGCCTCGAAAAGGCATTTGACAAGGCACCTAGGAAAATAATATGGAAGATACTTAAAGAGAGAAGAATGGAACAAGAATGATTTGAACGCAGTGATTAGCAACAACAAAAAAATCAGAAACCTTTACAACACATGAATGATTTATACAAGGAAAGGCACTGAGTCCAATACTTTTTATAGTACTCATGGACGAAATAATTAGAAAATGTATAGCGATGAGTAAAACGCTGAATATAGGATACAGCAAACTGGAAATATAGCAGATGGCGAAAAAAAATTTGGATATATAGAATGAAGTATTGAAGGATTACAGAACGAAGATGAATAAAAACAAAATGCAGATAATGAAAATAGACGAAAATGAAAAAGAGATGCGAATAGAAATAGAAGGATCAAGAATAAAACAAGAAAGATCGTACGAAAATATCTTGGAGTTATATTAGATGAAAGGGGAACACAAGAATGTAAAATTTATTAACAGAAAAGAGATAACGCGCAAAACTAACCTGAAAATATTGAAATCCATATACCGACCAGTGTTAACATACGGCTGTGAATCATGGATAAGAATAGCAAAAGAGTAGAATCCAAACTCTAGATATGAAATACCTTGGACGAGTGAAAGTAATTACGAAGATCGATAGAATAAGAGATGTGAACATAAGAAAAGAACTGGAAGTAGAGCCAATACTAGAATTTGTAGAAGAGAGACAATTCAACTGGTGGGGACACTTGTATTGAATGAAAGAGACAAGACTAACTAGAAAAGGTTGGTAAGCGAGAATCCAGGAGAATAAGGAAAAGGGTAGACCAAAGAAAACATGGGATAAGACAATGGGGCACATACTGGAAAAAAGAACAGTAACATGGGCAGAAGCGAAACATTGAAGTACTAACAGAAAAGAATGGAAATTATTTGTAAAAATTGTTATTCAGAAAGGTGTTTTTGTGTTTGATATAACTCACTCTACATGATTGTATGGTAGAAGGGTGCAAAACTATATGTATTAGTCATTTCCTGATGGACCTAACTTGGCTATCGAAACACATGTCTAGGGACAGTGCTGCAGTTTTGTTGAACTCTCTAGTCCGGTAGTAACAATTTTCACTTCTCTCACATTTGCAGATATTGCTATCAGACTGTTAAAGGTAACATTTCTTTTATCAATACATTTCAAAATTGTCTATAAAATAGATATTTCTTGTGAAAATGGTGAGTAAGTAATGTAAACATCAGTATTGTTAGCGTTTTATTACCCCTGGAAGGTGACGACGAACATATAAAAAATCTTGGTCTGATACTAGACCCTTGACTGAGATTTTCATCACATGTCTCGCTGTTTTCGAGACGGGTCTATCTCAATTTCGAATCAATTTATCATAACAGGAAAATACGTTCATCATCGACGGTCATCACGACCTGTATAAGTGTTGTTGACAGTTGAAAAATGAGGTTATTCATTTATGAATTCAAAAGCTCACGATGGGTTTCTAAATGGAGTAAGTAAATCGCACACAACATGGTCACTGCCTTATTGTAGATTCACCATGCAAAGTTCATTAAACCATATCAAGTAAATGCAAGACAATCACCTCAATAAATAATGGACAAATGCCCAATTAATAAAAGCTTAACAATTACGCCTCATTAACTCCTTTTCCTGCATCGCAGTTCGGTCGCAGACACAATACAACATTATCGTGCTTCGAGTGAAATGTGAAATAATTCAAGTTATGAGATTAGTGTCATAATTAGAAGGCAAGAGAGGAAGCAGTTTTGAATGAGGCAGCCAACGGCTAATTTGTATGACAGATCACGTACGGATTTCCATATGTGAAGTCGGAGAGGAGTGGTCTTGGAGACTTCTTGTTAGACGCATCTTCATCTCACACTCCTTTTTCGTTTATCTTTGACATTGGTGCGCCGACAGGGACTGTGTTGTGGCCGGAAAAAAGTGTGCTTTCGTTTTGTTCGAGTGTGGCTGACCATAACACTTGAATAGCTTCTCGAACAACTCGTAACTGACAAAAGTGGAGTTTTCCAGGAAGGAAGTGTCTATGTCGAATTTCACTAGTTCGGACTTCCATTGTCTACTATATAAAATGATTTGAAATCCCTGAAACAACTAAAAAAGAAGAATTAATAAAAATAATTTGAAGAAACTAACAAACACGCTTTTAAAGAACATCGAACTGAAAAGTTGAAAACCTGATTTTTCGGGTCTTCCATATTTTGAGTGTGCAATGTGTTCCTCATATCTTACTTTAATAGATCTTCCTGTCTGTCCATAATATTTTGCATCGCAGTCCTTACATTCAAATTCGTAAATTCCAGACTTTTCCGAATTCTCGACTTTGTCTTTTGGACTTCCCAAATAACTCTGTAGTGTATGACTTGTTTTAAAAACCACCTTCATACCTAGTTCCTTGAAAATCTTTCCAAAGTTCCTCGTATATTGGTGGGTTGGAACTGAGATGTATTTATCTTGGTTTTTGTCCTTTCTGAAAGAAAGTATGAAGGTGTTTTTTAAAACAAGTCATACACTGCAGAACCTTTTGGGAAGTCCAAAAGACAAAATCGAGAATTCGGAAAAGTCTGGAATTTACGAAATTGAATGTAAGGACTGCGATGCAAAATATTATGGACAGACAAAAAGATCTATTAAAGTGAGATATAAGGAACACATAGCACACTTAAAATATGAAAGACCCGAAAACTCAGCAGTCACCCATCATATTTTGCAACAAAACCATTCCATAGACTTCGGTTCATTAAGATTAGTTAGACAAGTTAACAACAACAGGCAACTAGATGCCTATGAGATTGTAGAAATAAGTAAACACAATAATATTATGAATAATGGTGACGGACCCATACCAAAAAGCATACTATATAGCTTGTTGAAATAATGTTGTTGGGTTTACTGATTACTTCATAAGGACACATTGCAAAAATAATTTTTCACGTATAGTCAGTGGGCATACTTGAAGACTGGCTATAAATCAAATCATCTAAGAGAACAATTCGTTCAGGACAGTCTCAACACCCTACACAGTAGCTTAATGGACTGACACCTATCAGAAAACAACTACTCCCCTGGCTAATACCACGAAGGGCGTTGGATTATATCCGACAGGTGTCAGTGCAGGATTCTTCACAGAAGTTATTCCTGCATATGCTGTACGAGGAATTGGGCAAATTTCGGATATGCATTTGGTTACCCCGTTCACAGGCAGATGGGGCGACGACAAACCTGTTGTTTGTTGTAGTCTTCAGCTTAGTTCGAGGAATGATACTCTGACGGAATTCGATTTTCAATTATAGGAAATCATCGACTTTATGTTGATGATATACACTACCTTGCACTGACGAGTGGCCAAACAGCCCGAAACCGGTCTGCAAGTGTGTTCCAATAATTGAAAATCTATTGCGGCAGTTGTATCGCCAACAGCATATGCAGGAATAACTTCTGTGAAGAATCCTGCACTGACACCTGTCGGTTATAATCCAACGCCCTCCGTGGTATTAGCCAGGGTAGTAGTTGTTTTCTGATAGGTGTCAGTCCATTAACCTACTGTGTAGGGTGTTGAGACTGTCCCGAACGAATTGTTCTCTTAGATGATTTGCAAAAATAAATTTGGATAGGCAATATTGTGAAATCAATTTTTATATAGCTGAACATTGTATATAAACATATATTGTGAAATAATAGATAAGGCAAAATTTCACTAGTTCGGACTTCCATTGTCTACTATATAAAATGATTTGAAATCCCTGAAACAACTAAAAAAGAATAATTAAAAATGAATAGCTAAAAATAACAATTATATTAAGCAAAAATAAACCTGAAATGAAATAATAGTGAAATAACCTACAAGTAAAACTATAACAATTGAATAAATAAAAATGAAGGAATGAAAAAAAAAATTATAAAAAATGTAGAGATTCCAAGTCACGTTAGTTCACGACGTTTCGATTGTTAGTATCTACAATCGTCTTCGGGTGATGACTGGACTGATTCCTCCGAGAGATGACTATTTTATAGGTCGTTGAAATACTTTCACTTTCTCTACTTTCCATTTTCCGCTTCACTGATTCCGTGAGAGATGACCGTTTTGGCGGGAGTTGGCCATTTTCCGTTTGAAGATGATCACTTGGTGATCGAAACACGTGTCGAGGTGTTAAAAATAACGATTTGGGGTTGGGAAAAAACTTCAGTGATATTGACTCAATAATGGAACAATAACCTGAAAATAATTCATTTCTCAGCAGCTTGAAAAAATAGACAAGGCCGAATAACAATCTGGGGTGTACTGCCCCCGTATCTTCAGAATGAATGAGTAACAACCCTCATAAACTCTTTATTGAAGAGAATGAGTTTATCAATAAACAACTAATTCTCAAGTCTGGATTTGTATTAAAGGGGATTATAAGAACTTTGTCAGAAAGCTTTGGGTTTTTGTCTTCATCGTTATTCTCGATTGATCCTACAAGGCCTATAGAAAAACCGATGTCCGTCTGATAATTTTATTACAGTCTACGACATTGTCTTGTTCTGTGGCTAGTTGGATCATGATTAATTTAAAAGTCACACCAAGAATTGAAACTATTCGAGGGTGTGTCAAAATTCTAACACAGCAGGCGACACAAGTAAGTAACAAGGGTCTCAAATGAAGTGACAGGACCGTTAATAAAAACTAAACTTTACATCTTAGAGTTTTTAAAAGTGGATACATAGTATTCAAATTACTGAGGTTGAATAACGAGTCAGAACGGTTTCAGGTCGAAAAAATGAAAGGGGATAGTTTGTTTCTGGAATATTCCACCACTCATATATTCTAATGCTAGTCAGATGATCGATAGTTGCCCATAGAGGTCATATTCCACTGTACAACAATCTTGCAATTCATATTTAACGTAATTAAATCGTCTCATGATAAATTAGTGAAATGAAGAAATTCGTTTTATGAATCCTGCCTTATTTGGAAACGAGGACAGTATCAATAACTTTCAAGGTCGATTGTGTCTCCGACATTCCGAATCTTGTGTTGTAATTTATGATTCACTCTGATTGCTTGATCATTGGAAAAATGGACATAGTCCTACGCTCATATTTCTTCATGCACATGCAATTTGATTTGCATAATTATGTTGAAAATCTTCCCCAACGGTTCCTAATCCGATGCTCATTGCGATAAGCATAATTGGCGAACAACATCTAAAGAGCCGACGACCTCATAGAAAGGATAAGTTTTTTTGTTGTCAAACTGGAGAGCAATTAGGAACGGCACCCGATTATACAGTGCATTTCAAGATGGCGACTGGGGAAAAAATTAATTGGAAAAGGGGGTCTTGTGACACATCTTATTGAAGCTTCTGACAAATGCTTCACAACCCGGGAATATAATGTCAATATCTTCAACTACTACAAAATGGCGGAACGTTCAATAATTACCTGAATACATTGACATTTAACAACATAATATGAGGTAATAAGCTTGAGGTCAGTTCAGAAGATGCTGGCCATTCTATAGAACCTCGACGGCCAATCCAACGACCGAGAAAAGTAGTATCCAAATCGTTTCTTACTTGTCTGGAAGAATGGAACATAATATCCATATCAACAGTAGTTTCCCTGTTGAATTTTGATCAGTAAATAGAGGTCCTACAATATGGTTTCCCAATATTCCTGCCCAAATGTTATTTTTTCCTGGACATTGTTCAAACGTTCCCGATGAAATAAATACTCTTCAGGATTTACTAATATGTCACCAATTATTTGCATTTGCTGTTTTTCCGGAAATGACGGATGACTTGGAGCTTTTTGTTATGTACACTACAGGTAGTTGTGAATTTGGATACAAGTTCCCCCAAATATTTTCTACAGATAGAACGATTCAGAAACCCTTCATTGAAAATCCATTCGGTCTCGTGAAAGTTACGCGTCGCACCGTAAATAAAAATCGCTTCAATTTTTTTTTCAATGGACGAGAATTGACCATTTTAGAGACTCTTGACGTGGTACCTTTCTACTAGTAAAACCGAAAACTAAATGAGAATATTCTAACTGAACAATTATGTTGATTGTCGTACTGACCTTTTTTGTCATTTTTATGAACAGAAAATAACTTGAGAAACCTTATCGAGTTGTTGGAATTGCTATATGACAGATAAAAAGGAATATTTCTAGAATTATCGATATCAATGTGTTTGTCTTTAGGAAATTATTTATTTTTTTGAGTTGCCCGGTTCAAAAAATGGAAGTGGGGGGACATACATATACGCGTACTGCACTACTAAATAGTACACGTATATGTAATAACCATGTATATACAAGTATTATGAGCTAAATAAACAATATCAATGAAATAACAAAATATTTCGATTGTGATAATATTTATTGAACATTTGACGTAGAATGTATAGAAATAGTCAATCAGATATAAATTGAAATAAAGTACGTTCAAACTGACTCCCGCAAAAACAAGTTGCCACAATAAAAGATCATGAAAATATATTTACCAAAAAAATAATATAAAAAACTTTCCTTCAGAATACTCATCAACTGAGTAAAGACAATTTTACAACAGAAATAATGCACTTGTTGCTTTAACATTTTCAAGAAGTTATATATCCAATACAATTAGGTGAATTTGGTGTAATATTGAGTCTTTTCACCTTTTCTGTCACTGTTTTGCCATTGTTTTTGTGAACTTATATTCATTTTTTTTACACAAATTTTGATGCAGATTCTTTGATCCATTATTTTCGATAGCAGAAAACCACTGAACACTGCAGTGAAATGGGCCACTAGATCACCTGACTTTAGCCTGTTAGATTTTCTCATTGTATGCTTCGAAATCTACCGAAATAATTGGGCGAGATGGGCAATGTACATCAACTATGAATTTTCTTTCTTTTTTGGTGGTATATCGTGTTGTTCTCAGATGATATTTTGTGAAAATAATAATGATAATAATACCGTTCATTATGCATAAAAAATATATTTATACATGAAAGGAAAAGGGTTAGCTAAAGGCTATCTTCCACCCCTTCCAAAAATTATACGGTGAGTGTAA